GGCACGGTTTCAGAGAAACCTGGGAAGACTTCTCTGCACTAAAGCAGAAGGAAGGCAGCACAACCAGGAGGACAATTTATTATAGTAACAACATGACTGTAAAAACAAACAAGTTTGAAATGCTTCTGAACTCGGATCATAGCAATGACCAGCCACCAGTCCAGAGCACCCACTCTCCAACATACGTCCCATCTCTTGACAAGAGGCACTAGACTCAAGGTGCAGAGGGAGACAGGGTTGTTTTTTTTAACATGGACAATGCAAATTTTTTTTTTTGCTTCACTAGGCATACTTGTTACAAGGGTTTTGGTTTCTTTCTTTTACAATGAAAAAGGGTTAGATTTCAATGGTGGGGGGGCAGGAGGGAAAGAAGATGGATTTTCATTCATTAGAAAAATTAAAATTTAAAACTATGTGCATTTATGCCAAGTTTCTTCCATTTTACCCACACACACACACACATTGTGCTGCAGACAGGGGTGCACAATGAGTCTAGCTTTGTTTATATATGGGTGCATGGGCCAACCAGAGAGTACCATGAAGGACAAGTAGCACATGAAATTGAGGAAGGAATAGAAAGACAGAGCACAGAGCATAGGTGACGGTACAGAACACCAGCGCTGCCCAAGACAACTTGCTCACAGGAAAAGCGTGCCCAAACACGTGTATACACATGTGCTCTGGTCATGTTCCTTCCTCTCTCTGCCACTACCACCACCATCAAAAACTGACAAAGCCAAATGAGGAAAGCCCAGTTGTCAGAACTCCCCAAAAACACCTCTATGATTCAGCACAGGCTCCCAATGCACTGGGTGCAGCCTGGAGATTAGCAACAGACACCCCAATTGAAAAGGCTACAGGATCCCCCAAGGTTAAGCAGCTTGATCTTGAAAGAAAAAAGCTGCACTGGAAATTCATCATTAATATCACTGAACTCTCATAACTCACTTAGTATGATTTTCATGAATGTTTGGTGAATGAATTAAGGAAGTTTACTTCTCAAGAGAGATTTTTAAACTCCCTTACCCAGAGAAACAGAATTTCATTAGAAAAAAGGCCAACATCCATAATAGTTCACTTTCAATGTTCCTTTCTCAGTAGATAAGGAGGACAAAAAGCAAAGCTGACGTCCTTTTTCCATCAGCCCCCTTCGCCCATTATCTACTTCAAACTCCCATCCAAGAAGGTTTCCCACCGAGAACTCTGGGTGGAAATAACCTCAGAGAGCCTTTCAAGCTTTCCCATCCAGGCACTGGGGAAGGCTTCCTGACCACACCCTTACCACTCAAACCCTTGTGAAACAGCTACAGCAGAGATGCACAATGGGACCTGTCAAAAGGACAGATAAGAGAGAAGCCTGCACCTCCTGGGCTGCCCCCCTGCCCAGCCCAACAAATTTCCTTTCTCTTTGCCAAGCCCAGTGCTCCTGGGACATCAGGAGAAACCGAAAGGCAGGGTCACCATCAGCTCCTGGCTCGGAGGGCAAGAAAGGGACTGCCCAGAGCAAGCCCATTAAGAGGTGGGCCTGAGCAACAGGACTTGACCTTGGGACGCACGGAGGGAGAGGCCAGAACCGGAGTTTGGACCCCATAAAACAGACGCAAGCCTGGACGGCGCCAAAGGTGCCTACACATCCTGCTTAGTTCCAGGGAGCTAGATGCCCCAAGGGTGACCCACAGCTGGCTCTGGAGGAGCTCAGCACAAGTGCACAGAGTCAGCCTAGCCAAGGGACCCATTCTGCCCGTGCAGACACCTGCGGGAGCAGGGTGCAGTTACAGAGCCAACCCATGCACATGAGACTAGCTGACAAGGGCTCAAAGAGAGCTCCAGTTCCATACAGCCCACACAGCTCAGACACAGATGCCAAGTGCTCAGGTGAAAGCAAAGCGTTCTGAATTTAGGAGAGCCAGCATCAGGCGCGGTGAGCAGAGGCCCTCACCCCACATTTAAGAACTGTGTCACCACGGCCAAGTCACTCAGCGTCTCAAAAATAGCTGATACTAGCTAGCGTGTGCACAGCATGTACGCTGTGCCAGGCGCTGTGTTCAGCACTCTACAATTATTATCTCCTTTGGTCCTCACAACAACCTTGGAAGAGGCAGATGCTGTTATTATCTCTCTCCCTTTTACAGTCGAGGAAACTCAGGCAAACAGAGGTTAAGTGACTTGCCTAGGTTTCACAGTTTAGTGTCTGAGGCTGGATTTGAACTAGGTCTTCCTGACTCCAGCTCCAGCCCTCTAGCTGCCTGTTTCCTCAACTGTAAAACAGAGATAAGAATACCAATACCTACCTCAGAGGGTACACTGACAAGGAGTAAATGAGATAATATATAGAAAGTACTGGGCAAACCAGAAAAACGACACAAATGTCAATTATTATTTGTCGTCCAGTCGTTTCAGTCCTGTCTGACTCTTCATGGTCCCACTTGAGGTTTTCTTGGCAGAGATACTGGAGGGGTTTGCCATTTCCTCCTCCAACTCATTTTACAGATAAGGAAACCGAGGCAACAGGGTAAAGTGACTTGGCCACATTCACACAGCTAGTAAGTGTCTGAGGCTACATTTGAACTCGGGTCTTCCTGACTCCAAGCCCAGCACTCTATCCACTGCGCTCCCTGGGTGCCCCACAATTACTAATCTCTGCCAATTTCTGAAAGTTAAGAAAGAACATGAGGTCTGCAGAAGGACAACGAAGAGACGGATCTGAACGGACGAGAGGCTCGGGCTGAGAAATAAAAGCGGGCGAGAAGTTGGACAAAAGCAGGCGTCACATTTGGAAGTCTGGAGAAGCAAGTCCCCGGGCTCCTGGCGCACCGAGAAAGAGAGAACCGCCCGTACACGAGCGGAGGGCAGCGCGACGCAAGCAACATTTCATCAGCCTTGTTCCGCGGCCGAGAGGGAGAAGGCGTCGGCGTGAGAGCCCAGCGGGGCGTCTGCCACTGCGGTAACCCTTGATCCGAGGTCGAGCGGGCGCTGACAAATGCTGAACATCGGCAGCAGGACAGGAACCACTGAGACATTAAGTCAAGCCCTGATTTCAGAGGCCTGCGCACTCCCACTGAAGATTTAACAATCAGCTCTCACAGGCGAGTTCGGGCTTGCTTCGGCACAGCCCTGAATGAAGTGGTGAGGGCCTGAACCACGGTAATGTCAGCAGAATGGAAAGGAGCATTCACGTTGGCAACATGTCAATCATCATCATCATCACCATCATCATCATCATCATCGTCATCATCACCGTCATTGTCACCGTCATCATCATCACCATCATACCATCATCATCACCATCATCACTGTCACCATCATCATCACCACTGTCACCGTCATCATCACCACCACCATCATCATTGTCGTCACCGTCATCATCGTCACCATCATCATCACCACCATCGTCATCGTCACCGTCATCATCATCACCATCATCATCATCATCACAACAGCATCTTCATGAGGCCTGAAGGTCTGCCCAGAACCTTACAGTTCTTCTCTCATTTGTTTGTCACGACAACCCTGGCAGACTGGTGCAATTATTATCTTCATTTGACAGACGACAGAACTGAGACCAAAAAGGCACACAGTGACTGGACCGGGGTCTCGCAGCTACTGCGGCTCTGAAACTGGCTTGATTAGAGCTCTAGTCCTAGAGAGGCCAAGCCCAGCACTCTATTTGCCCCATTCCAATATGCTATGCAAAAGTGGCCCCCTCGTACAATAGCACATTTTCTTCCTATCTCTTCATATGGCAATTAAAAGAAATATTTCACTGGCCCAACAACTGGAAGCAAGGGAAACTAAGTTACTAGCTCCTATATTAAAGAAAGGTATTCACTTGCTGTTATGTTTTTCCTTTTGTGCAATACTCATAAACCATTTTGCTTTCAACAATTAGTAACATGCCTTATATTTTTGTCCTTCTGTCTTTTAAACTTGATATAACTGACAGATGTCTAGACACTGAACTGCAAAGGTCATTCATGAAAGCCACATAAGCCTCACTTAGGTTATTGGGATCTGTTATTTAGACATCTTGTTGTGAGTCACATTTTCCCATTCTCATTTGTTGGGAAAATGAAGACCTGTAAAGCCTTGCTACATGCCCTGCTGTTTCTTCCTTAAGAGTTTCTGAGCCTTTCCATTGTTTGAACTCTTTTATAGAACTTGATGTCTTCTCCAATAGAGTGAAAGCTCAGTGAAAGCAAGGCCTGTGCCATTTTTTTCTATTTGAGTCCCCAGTACTTAGCATAGGGCTTGGTACATAGTAAGTACTTAATAAATGCTTTTCCATTCACTCATTCATCCATTTCTCAAAATGGTGGCCCAAGAATTCAAATAAATGCATGCCCTCAAACATACCACTCTGCCTCTCCATACCTCAGTTTCCTCATCTGTAAAATTAAGAGGTTGGACTAAGTCACCTTCACACCCCCTTCCAAGTCTGACATTTTATGAATCTATGAAACAGAACGCCACACTCCTATCCATGATAGAGTTTTGGTTTTGGTTTTTTTTTTTTGGTAATCATTAAATTGGACATTCTTTAACCAAAAAAAAAAAAAAAAGGCAAGACATTCCAAAAACATACACGCTTTAATTCAAGGCAAAGTAATATCCCCTGAGAATGCCCCTGACTTTCACCATGCCTTGGATCAATTGGTACCACCAAGGGCTTGGTCTAAGTGCATGGTAAAACAGTTTATTTTCAATACACATCTGGAAATGGGAACCATGAACTGACTGAGTGTCAAGGCCAGAATGGGTTTCCCTTCTTTGCAAAGGAAGATCATCTTCATCCTTTGGAGGGTCCAGAGGAAAACGACGCCACAGCAGGTATGTTCAGGTAGCTAAAAGGAACAACAGCCTCCCCATATGCCCTCTTAAAATGGAAGTGGTCCTTCGAATCCAAATAAGTCAAGTTCTCTGGCTGTCCAATAAACAAACGAAGCCCCACCCCCAGCAAACAGTAGGTCCCCGGTCCCCTAAGCACACATATGATCACCTACCCCACTGCAAAGTGGCTGTGCTCCTCCCAGGCCGCAATCCTGCAGACAAAGAGTGTTCGGGCATAGTCATTAGGCCGAGTCACAAAGTCCGGCGGGCAGTCAGCAAGGGGCACATAAACCCTAGGGACTCGGTGATCAGAGGGTGAAAACAAGGCACATTTTCTGAACAGCTCACTGTTCTTATCGGCCAGTAGCTTGATGAATCCAGTGGCTGCCCGAGAGTGCTTTTTCTCCAAGATATAAACCACCTGAAATGATAAAAAGCTGGAGTTACCTATGTGTCACACCAGGAGAAATCAGGGGAGGCAGAAGAGAGTTTCTAAGAGCAGTCCCTGAGTCAGGCTATTTCTCTTGTCCAAAGAGAGCCAATCATCTCACAGACTGGTAATTTGTAATTCTATGTGCCCACGGAATCCCCATTTAAGCACACACAAAAAAAGACTGCATTACACAGAAGTGTCTTCATAAGCTTCGAGAGAAAGGAGCCTAGCACATAATGATGGGATATGAGCTCAGTTACAGCCCCCATCAATGTCCCCCTCTCAGATTTTCAGGCTTCCTTATGGTCACTGCCAGCAGTGACGTCTTCAGCCATTTTGACCTGTTTTCTTTAATAAGGGAATCTTTTTTTTTATTTAAACCACAACATACTTCCTGTTGCATAAGATAGAGGAGAAAACCACATTCCCTGAGACCTGGAGGCAGCCAGGCAGAAACAGCAATCAATCAACATGCACTGATCTAGGTGCTGGAGACACAGCTGAGCAAAGTCAGGCCCTGCCCTCAAGGAGCTTCCACTCAAATGAGAGCCAGCTGGCTGGCATACCATGGCATGCACACCAGGACAATCTTCCTAGAAGGACAAGCACTCCCTGGAAAATCACATTCTTCACTGACATCCCAGAAAAAGTCAATGCCATTTGTCTCATTGAGCCAGAGGAGGCGGCTCCATGGGCACAAGCCTGCTGGTCACCTGGGGCATCTGGGACCCTCAGGGGACGCCACAAGCCCAGAACACAAGGGACAAACCAAGGCTTCCTGCCCAGAGGGGGACGGCTTGTTACCTTGGCAGATCTTTGCAGCAAGCTGTCAGGGCAAAGTCTCGGGTCTTGGGGCTTGGGGAGGTTTCCCTGGGGTGCGCTCTGTGCGTCAGCATTCTCATTTCCTAGATGACCAGAATACATCAATGAGTCAAGGATTTCCAGGATCCAATCAAGCTATACCTCAGGATATAATTCTTAAAGATTCAGGATATTAGGAGATTAAAGAACTTTGCTGTGATTACAGAGGCATGATGCGCTAAATGCAGGATCTGATTCCAGGTCCTCCTGACAACAAGTCTGGCCCTTTATTTACTAGGAAACATTTTCCATTCATAATAAAAAGAGAATTCTACTGACACATTATGCAGAAAGAATCACAGCTTCCTAAGAGTTTGTGAAATTCTTGGTAAGGCACAAAGCATGTTGTCACCGTCACCACCGTTTTCGTATCCCCCTCCTCTAGCACAAGGCCTGAATACAATAGTATACTGTCTGGGCAGGTGCCATAAAGAAAGGGGGGGCGTGCCCCCCAGGATCCCGGGGCCTTGCCATCTATTCCACCCCCCTAAGCCCTTAGAATGTCCTGGCCTTTCTGATCACCTGCAGGTGAACTTTATAAAATGCACTGTCTCTCCCTGTTAGAAAGTAAGCTTTGTGAAGGCAGGACCAGGTTTCTCTTCTGCATTCATATAGCCAAGCACTTAGTACAATGTTTGGAATATAGCCAGAGCTAAATAAATGCTTTGTCTGTCAGTCAGACATGAAATACTTTCATCATAATTTCCCGGTGCAAAAGGGAGTTCAAAACTTGTAATTCCAATTTGACACAAGGAAATTGAGGTTCTAAGAGCCTGCGTGACTCAGCCATGATTTAAATGATGGACCTGGCCTTCCATCTTGCCCATTCTATATGCACTACGTGATCACAAAGAGTAGGTGAATGAATGAAACATCTTGTATGTCATATCCAGTCTAACCTCATCATTTGACAGATGAGAAAACTGAGGTCCAGAAGAAGGTACTTCTGCAAGATAAGTCTTACATCTGCCTGAATTTTCGCTCTGATATCCAGCCTTCAGCCCAATTTGCTTTGCTTGTTTCACGTGACTCATTTGCTAAGTGTCATACAACAACCCAGAGGACGACAGAGGCTGAATGAAGCTAAATCACTTGCATGTCAAAATGGCCTAGAACTAGATGTTATTTAATACTGCCCCAAGCCCCAATGTAGAAAAGAGATAGGTTAATTTATTGTGCACATCTGCTGAAATACAACAAAATCAAAATAAACTCTAACTTTTAAAAGGCCCAGCCATAATAAACAAAATGGTGGAAAATGGATTATACTTATTAAATTTTAAAAAACCAACCCTGAAGTTCCTGGCTTTTCTTAGTTATATTATATAAAGAGTAAAGTACTTAAATTCCTTTAATGTTTAATTTCCTTTATAAAAAAAAAACACTTATAAAATGCACATTCACCCAAGAAACTGAAACCACATCTCTCCAGTAAAGACACATGTAGGCATTGTACCAGGAGTATTAAAAATCCTCATGAAAAAGTAGCAAGCTAAACATTTTTCAACATTCAATATTTTATATTTTTGTTTGTTATTCTAGCTCCCCCAGCCCCCAACCTCCAAATCCTAGCCTTAACCAAACAAAATGGAGTTTCCAGGTGCAAAAGCAAATACATATGGGCTAACCCCCCAAAACCAGACAACTGGGGGGTGCCTTGTACTCATTATCATTTTTAAATGGCATGGGCCAAAATAAATAAATAAATCCTTTTTGGGACTGGCCCCTTCTTAGTGAAGGCTCAGCTGGAAGCCAACTTTTACCATTCTGGGCGTACTCTGGAAACACTGACATGGGTTGAACTGAATGGGACTGAAGAATGATCAGCTGTTTGTTTTTCCATCTGTGTTGAAATCATCTACCTACCAGCGTGTCCACTTAGAGCAGAGTTCTCATTGTTCTGCAGAAACAAAGTTTTCCAAAGACTCTGTCACCCCAGCCATAAGTTAAAAAGGAAAACCGTCACATAAAGTTCACTTTTCATTTCAGGCTATGGTCTAAGTTTCCAAGGCCTTTGTTTCCCAGAAAGAATCCAAGAAGAGGATGTTCGAGGGTCGAGATAAGAGGCCACACAAGATGCCCCCTCCAAATGGTGCCCTCAGAACAGCGCAAGTCGAAGAGGAGGAATTAAGGAAGTACCATATAAACGCTGGCTATAGTAATTATTATTATTATGACTCTTTCTTCTACATCATCCTGCCTCTCAATAGGGCTACCAAAGCATCTACCTCCTAGGGTTGTTGGGGGGATCACATGAGGGAGTATTTGTAAAGCTCCTTGCACACTGCCTGGCACATGGGAGACAAGACACAAATGGCGGCTAGCATTGGCAGCATCGGGAAAGCTAAGCAACGCTCTGGGGGGAACTTCAGGAACAAAGACCACGTGCTTTGGATGGGTTGTTGCCCTTTTCCAAGGCCTGTCCACTCTACCCTTGTGATTCCCCTGCCACCCTTCCCCCAAACAGACCCTCATTACGCCATCGCCAACAAGCAGACACATGTTGGAAGGATATATCTGCAAGTCTCCAGAGAGGAGAAAAACATTATCTCCCAAGCCAGTCCATTACACTGGTGGATAACTCTAACTGTGAAAAAGTCTTTCTTTAATTTAAACTAACGGGCAGCTAGGTGGCACAGTGGGTAGAGTGCCAGGCCTAGAGTGAGGAAGATTCTTCTTTCCAACTTAAAATCCAGCCTCAGACACTTACAGCTGTGTGACCTCGGCCAAGTCATTTCACCCTATTTGCCTCAGTTTCCTCATCAATAAAATGAGTAAAAAGGAAATGGCAAACCACTCCAGTGTCTTTGCCAAGAAAACCCTAAATGGGTCATGAAGAGTCAGATGCAACTGAAAACAAATGAACAACAACAAAATTTCTATAAACAGTTTTGTGTGTACGTGTGTGTTATATGTGTTCATGTATGTGCATCTCCCAGGTATATTATTCATTCTGTAGTAATTTTAAAAGGAATTTCTCTTTCTATCTTTTCCTGCTGAGTTGTATTAAAATTTAACAGAAATGCTAATGATTTCGATGGATTTTGGATACCACAAGTTTGTCGAAGTCCTTGTTTCCATTCGTTTTCAGTTGGTCCTTTGGAGTTCTTTAAGTACCATCATATCATCTACAAAAGTGACCATTCTTTTCCTCCATTCATTTCCTTTTCTTGTCCCATCGCTCTGGCCAGCATTTCTAATACTGTGTCAAACAGAAGTGGTGACAACAGACATCTTGTTTTGCCCCTGATTTATTGGAAACAACTTATCTCTGTTACAAGAGGAGTTCTTGGTTTTAGCTATATACCATTCATCATCTTATGGAAAGATTCATTTATTCCTCTGCTTTCAGAGGTTTTGACAGAAATGAGTATTGTATTTTGTCAAAAGCTTTTTTCTCCATTTATTGATGTAATCCTATGATTTCTGTTGACTTTGTTCCTAATATGGCTAATTAAGTTTATTGTTTTCCTAACACTAAACCAACCCTAAATCCCTATTATAAATCCGATCTGGCCATCGAGCATAGGAAATAAATAATGGTATTTTAGCTTCTTTGTTAACATGTTACTTAAAATGTTTGTATCTAGGTTCATTAAGGATATTGACGTATAGTTTTCTTTTTGTTTTGATCTTTCCTGGTTTATGTATCAACACCATATCTGTGTGAGAAGGAATTGTAAACAATTTCTATAATGCTGCAGTTATTTGTTCTCTAAATGCCTGATAGAATTCATTTGTGAATCCATCTGGTCCTGCAGTTTCTTCTTCCCAAGTTAATCTGGAGCTTGTTCATTTTTCCCCCGAGAATTGGCCAGAAGAGACACTAGTAAGGACGACAGTGCAGCGAGCATCCTGCTTCCCGCGTGCCCGAAGGTCCGGGGGAACATGGCAGTAAATGAAGCGTTGTGGGCTGAGGGTGTTTTTGCCAGTGAGCGCCAGCGGCAGGCTGGTCTTCCAAAAAGGAAAGGGAAAGGTCGGAGAAGGGCTTGTCTGTGCACCAGGCTACCCGGGAGAATGGAGTCTTCACTGGGAGGGGGAAAAAAAAGCAAATAGACTGGAAGAAATCCTTCAAAGAGCAAACAAAGCAGAAAAGGGCTCTGTCCTGAGCATCAGCAACAGGCTACAGGCTCGTGTAATGGGAGGTAGAAAAAGGAATTATTGAACATCTGGAACAATGACGATGACGATGAGGAAGAAGAGGAGGAGGAGGATGGCCAGCATTTCAATCACACTTGAAGCTTTGGAAGAGCTTTTCATGTTGTTACTTCATTTGATCCTCAAAACAACCCAAGGAAGTAGGTGCTGTTATTAGCCCCATTTTATAGAGGAAGGGTTAAGTGACTTGTCCAGGGTCATACAGCCAGAATCTGTGACTGAGGCTGGATTCGAACTCAAGTCTTCCTGACTCCAACTCCAGTAGTCAATATCTGCTGTGCCACTCCAGTTCCACGAACACAACTGTACCCTCTGACAAGGAAACGGGTATCTGTGCTCAAAGGACTGGCATGGACCCGGAGATGCCACAGGAATGCCGGCATCTTGTCCAGCTCTGACCTCTCTTGAATGCTGGTCAGTCACCTTCTCTTGGCCCTCCATTAAATCCCCCTCTTCCTGCATGTCCTCAGATGGCTCTCCAACCCCACCTGTTCCTGGTGCAGACACCACTACCCTGCTCATCACACAAGCTCACAGCTCAGAATGGTCGGGATTCAAGGAGGATCCTCCAGTGAGAGGTATCCCCTCATTTGTCACATAATGGACTGAGACCCTGACTCTCTCAATCCCTTCATCAGGTGTCTCTTCCCCTCACCCCCGGCATCCGTCCCTCTCCCTCCACTCCTGGGAATGAGGCACACCTCAGACACATGCATGTGACCATTCCCTTAGGTATTGTACATAAAGTCCCATTCTGTGCTAAAACAGAATGCAACTTAAAGCCGTATCTCCATGCAGAGTTAAAAGAAAAGTAACTGTGTCACCAAATTTCACAAGGCTTTCCTTGCACATGGGTCAATGCATGTGACAGCCAAGATACTGGGCT